CAAGTTACTTATTCTAAACATCACCACGCACACTACTGGAATAACTGCTTTGGCATTTGTTGTTGACTTCAGAGTGAGAGTTTTTAGGCTTGAAATCTGATCTGGGTTGCATCCGGGAGCAGCTGAAAAGTAAGTATAGGGAGGTTGGAAATGTCTTGAAAGTCATACAGGTTTGGCCTCTTTCTTTTTTTTGTTGATGACATATCGCACAAGAGAGAAGGGACTCTTAACGGAGTCTCTGTCCTGGCAAACCTTCACATAATCTCACAAGCTTAGTTTTAGCCTGGTAAACATCCACTGAGAATCTGTGTTCCAGAAAGCAGGACCAACGTAACAAAAAGCACCCTCGTGAGATCTGAATCTCAGTTCATGTACAGTTAGTGCCAAGTTGTGATGTCTTGAGAGAGGAGACATCACAGGTTGGCTACGACTGACTCTGTTACCAAGCAAACAGTTTTATCTCCTGCATTGAGGCTGCAGTGAAACTTGTATTTACCGTTTGGCACGATTAAACAATAAGGCCTGTGACATTCAGTATTTTAGTTAGCCTTTCTCTGTCTCTCAATACTCTCTGACTTCACTACGCTTTTTGTGGCACTGAGCCACGAGGGTTTGTGTTTCCTACTGATGACATACATCTTTAAAAAGGTGGAGCAAATATTTAATTTTATTTAAAAAAAATACTAAATGATGTCACGAAAGAGCTGGGCACTGTGGTTTTTAGCAAATGTAGCTAAAACAGGGGTAAATATGTCATTTTTTGGGGGCTAGTTTCAGCTGTGGATTAATACACATTTGGTCCTCTATTGAGTCTTAACAGCACCAGGGTGGGTGTCGAAATAACTTAAAATAGACTACAGTATGTTCATAGTTGGATCAATTAATTTGTTGATTTCAATCTTCTTCATGGAATTTGTTGACAATTAGAAATGTATTATTTATTATTCTATTTATTAAAGCAGGCTGTACCGGGCCAATGCGAAAGCGGACCACACTGAACAAAACAGTAGATTGCTGTTTTAGATCGATGAGAATTTGTAGAGTCTCATGTATCGACCGTAAAACCCACATCCACACACAGAGTATTAGTCAACCTCTCTTATAGTCTTGCACAGCCAGACTACAGCACATTATCATCCTGCTATAGGGGAAAAAAGGGTGTAGCGATGGTGCCGTTGCAAAAAGGTAACATGCATAAGGGAGAATTGGCCAATGTGTAGAAATGTCCTCCTTCACTCCAACAATGTATCCATTTGTTTTAACATTCTTATCTCCCCCCTTGGCAAACGTCAAACAAACTTTAAATATGTGATTAGACATTTGGCTCTGTCGTGAAGCTGATTCAGCAATGGATTTGTGCTCGTATTTATGTGCTGCACTCCATTAAAGGATTATTCTCAGACCTTCAAGATGAAAAATGTCACAATTAGAAATGCGCCTCGTATGGCTGTTGGCATTAAAGGCATGCCAGAGTGCCATTCATTAACTGCTGTATGCAGACATGGCGTCTTAGAGCAGCCTAGTGAAATTACAGGGGGAAACACTGGCAGCAACGTCCATAACAGTCAAATAACACCCTGCTATGACAAGGGAAATTACACGTCTTTGGAATTGAGATTTTAATCGCGTGATATAATTGTATCGCTGTGAGGAATGTGCAGTTTGTGTAATCGGATGCTTTCGTGTTTTGATAAATGTGATGGCGAGGCTTATTGTCAGTTCTTGGGATCATTGAGGTTTCTTGATCAAATCAGCAGATAACTAATTTTCTTGAAAGAGTTTGTTGATTTATTACCACTTGGCTGTTGATGGACGATTATGTGAACCTTCATTCATCAGGATACTAATAATAATTCATATTTAATCTGATATGACTGCAGATAGAGATTAATGTTTGGTTAATGCTGTACATCTACAGCCGGATTACAGTATAACCAGCCAGTTATCACATCTAGAACCCGATAAGATTGTGTCATTATGCAGCAGTGGTCTGCATGTGTGTGCATGTGGCTCTGTGGCTGCACTATATGAGTGGATCAGTATAAGGAGTTCCCACACTCTCTCAGGTGTCCTGTGCTCAGGGCAGCCTGGCCCAGGTTCACAAATAAAGGCTGCCTTTGTCTGCAGCAGGGAACAGGTAACCATTTGTACCTGCACTACTGTGTGTGTGTGTGTGTGTGTGTGTGTGTGTGTGTGTGTGTGTGTGTGAATACATGCATGCAATCATATGTGTGTGAGTGTAGGAGAGAAACAGAGGGAGATAGGATTGACTGGGCTGCCTGCCGTTGCCTCAAAAGCAGGTGTGGCTTTTCAACAGCCTCATATTCACAGCATACAGCACAATACATGTGTGCTCAATAAAAAGGAAGGTAAACTATTATCTGTTATCTAGTCTGTGATTCTCCAGGCAAACAAACACCATTTTAAGCAAAGTTGTACATCCAGGAAAAGTGTTAATTCATGCTTTTATCCTCTTAAAGGCACAGTGTGCTGGATTTAGGGCAGTCTACTAGCAGACAATGTTCATAACTTTGTTTGCAAGAGTAAGCAGAAGGATATTCAATTGGTTGTAATCAACCACACTGATAGATGCCACCAAATCCTACATACTGTACCTTTAAAGAGAGACTCCATGTTAATTCAGTCGCCAATTCTTACACTTGCATTCTTTCTTATAACCATCAGGGGGCAACTCCTTGGAAAAATGAGTCTGATTGTATAGAAGTCTTTGAGAAAATGACCCTACTTCAGTAATCATTGTACACATGACTTTATGGTCTCAATAGTTAGTTTCAAGTCTTCTTCAGCGTGATGTTCATCAGCGCAAGGCTTCAAAATGGCAGAACACAAGCCAATGAGTGCGTCCACTTCTTATATACAGTCTATGTGTAAATTACAAATGTAAAGTTTATGTGATACTACTTACTATAATGTAAAATACAGATATCTCATAAAGATTTACAGTGTGTCATAATGTTGAACACTAACTTACAAATAATCTCTCAAAGAGAAAAAGAAAAAAATATTTTTTTGTTAAACATTTTTAAGCCAACATGGATGAGAAGTTTAAAGTGCTAAAAGAAATGGAAATGTGAACATCTTCCCATGTCAACTCAAGAACCTGTGATATGACAACAGCTCCCTCACGGCTGCTGAGTGAACTTGTGGTTCGACTGTTTTCCAAGGTCAAGAATGAACTTCCAATCTCTGCTGCACTCTATGGCAAAGCTAAGTTATTACTAGGGGAAGACTATCCAGCCTACATTGTTCTCCAAAGTAAAGCCACCGGCTTAAGACATATGACCTCTGAACAAATAGACAAAGAAAGAAGTACACAGTTAACAATTGACATTCAGACAAGAAATCATCTCTGAAAGTAGTTACTCTGGCTTTGGGCTAAAGGCGACAGGTCACATGATCTGGGTGAACAAATACGAAATGTTTTAGCAAGTTAGCCTGAAATATAAATTTACAATATAGTCAAAGAACAGCAGAACAGTCTATCTTTACTTTTTTTGCTCATGACTTTCCACCGTTTACAGTTTATTTGAACATGAAAGAACAAAATGAATCTGATGTGACTGATCTGAATGATCTGACTAAATATAATAATATAAAAACATTTTGTCTCTGTATCCTTCTGTGCACACAGTTCATATGAGGCCGTGTGCGTTGTATGTGTTGTATTAATCGGCTCTTTGAATCAGGAGTTGAGGATTACCTGTTCAGGAAGCAGGAGGGTAAGAAGAGACAGAGCTCCACAAGTGTGTTTTAACAGCCTGTCAGGAGAGCTAACTTTATGACCCGCTGCTGGGATTTAACAGATGCTCACTGTGAATATTCAATCACAAAAGGTGCCTGCCAGCTAATGTGGGCTGACAGGAAGGCAAACCAACAACCTGAGTGATGGATGAGTATAGATCTCAGGTGAAAGGTGAGAGTGCTGAGGATGTGCTCTCTTCCTCTGTCTATCTGTCTGTTGTGGTATTCTGTCTGGAGCTGGTGTGTGTGTGTGTGCGTGTGTGTGTGTGGATGTTAAGTACAGGGGCTGTATGCTGTGAGTAGGGAGGTCTTTAATTAGAGCAGGAAGACACGGCTCAGGAGACACACTATACTAGACTTAATTCTATGTGCGTGAGTCTGTCCACGCAGGTACGTGTGTGTGACTGGGAAACATCCTGCACGTGTCAATAGTTTCAGGGTCCATCTTGCCATTTCCAGCAGAGTCTGCTCAGAGTGCGCACGCACGCACGTTAAAAGATCTTAAATGAGGCTAAATCCCCAAAATGTTCAAAAGCCAATTAGAAAGTAATTTCTCCATCAATTAAACATCCACTGTCTGAATAGTCTATGAAATGTACACATTACTTTTGTTCTTAATTTTGACTAATATCTGTGTGATGAATTTTTTGATTAGTTCAAAAAAGTGCATTCCATTTATATGCATGTATAAATACATGCTGCATTGGCAAGTTAAATCCATTACTCTCCTCTAACCTGGAATTTATACATTTGGCTGTAACTCATTGTAATCTCTTTACTAAGCTCAGTGTGCCACTACAATAATTATAATGTTCTCAGTGCTTGACTAGGTGCTGTAGGAATTTATTTTTCATTTGTGAAAAAAAAGAAAGTTGTTTTTATTTTTAAAGATGAAAATAATGAAACTATTATTCCATTAACATACAGTATTAAGGTTTAATTCTGTTGTAACACATTATTAGTATTATTTTGAGATACTAGGTGGAGGGTATTGCCCTTTTTAAAAGGGTAAACCCAAGATTCGACCCCCCCTCCCTACACTAGTAAGTGTTATACAGTCTCTTATTATAAGTTATAATCAAGTAATACATTTATATTTAAAAAAAAAAGGTTTGATTCCCTACTTTTGCTTTTAAATGAGGCATTAATAAAGTCTAACGAAATGATAAAAAGATCATGCAGAATTTTGGCCTGAGTAAAACCTATTAAATTGTTCTTTTCCCTCTCTTCTTCTGCAGCTCTCATGTGTTCGCTCAGCCATGCTTCCTGGCTATGGATTGTCACCTTTTCCTGATTTCCAACCCCACCTTCACGCTTTTTGCTGCCGAGGAGAGAGTGTCAGCATGTGGATCCCTGGCTCAGGGGAGTCCCAGGCTCTGAGCGAGGCCCAGGAGGACAGGCCTCTTCTCCACCCGTGCCACCACAAGCATGTCGCTGTGTGCCAGCAGGAAACATTGGCTTTTATCGAGCTACAACCACCGGTGACTCCTAAACTGAGCGGCCTTAGCTCCCCGAGGCCAATCGTTATTCCAGAGACACAATGCACAACACACTCCCTGCCCCTGAACGGTTTCACACACACACTGAATGAACTGAATGACATGCAGAACGGCTGCCACAATGAGCACGAAACAGTGTTGAATTTGAACTCTTATACACCTGCGGGTGACTGTGAGCTTGAATGCCATAATAGCATCAGGACTTCTTTGAAGGAGCAGACAGAAAAACCTTGTGCCGTCACAACAGTATGTCGTCCTTTCCACGCTGCGCTCAGCCTCCCTCTGCCGTTCCCTCTGTCCTCACTATACACAAACGGAGACTCCTGGGAATCTCCGTTACCTTGCTCCCCATCCTCACCTGAAGGTCCTGGGTTTCAGAGCCTAGACTCCTGCCAGAGGAGGACGTCCCAAGGTTCACTGAAAGAGAAGTCTATCCGTGAGTATGCAGCTGTTTTCCGCTATGGACAAAGTTTACGCAACAAATCATTTTTAAAAGCTCTTTACGTGCTTTCTCTTAGTCTGATATTAAGTTATTTTCTTGTTTCCAGGGCGAAAGATGCAGGTTTATTCGCCCGACAGCCAGAGCGATGAATCTCTCAGCAGCCCAATCCTGGACGCAGACTACATCTTCCCAGGACCTTTTGCATCTTTCCTGGAGGAGGACCTCAGTGGATTATCCTCCCTGGAGGCCACTTCAAGGCCTTCATCCACAGACGGCCTTACAGATCTCCCAAACCTCAGTAACGATGATATTTTCAATCTACCTGAGGAACCACTGGAGATAATAGAGGACTCAATGCCAGCACTGGGGGAAGACAGCGAGAGTGTAGAGATGTCGTGTGCCACAGGGGGGAGCTTTTTGTCCCGCAGCCGTCAGGGGGATCAAGAACGGCGGCGCTTCTCAGCTTCAGAACTGATATCCAGGCTGCAGCTCTCTCAGAGGAAGAGCTCCTTCACCTTGAAGCTGGGCAAGTCGCTGTCTGCGCGGGTCGCCTCCAGAGACAGAGGCTCCAACAGCCTCAGCCCCAACGCTGACTGTGAGTAGAGAACAGAATCATCATCAGGGTATCATATCATTGAAGGGTAGTCCATACACCAACCAAGAGCAGTATAAAAAAACAAAAAGAACAGGTTCACTGGCCTTCTCCTTGAACAAAGACAAAAGACGAGTCAGATTAGTGACAAGTTAAAGGAAAACTTAGCTTAAAGTGTAAGGGTTATCAGCTTCATTGTTCCTGCACATCACTCAATCTCAAATATCCAACATCTGCACAGTTGAATGAAAAAATATCCATTAACTTGTTTGCTCAGAGTTTCACAACACATTCCTCATTTTCACTCCACAACAGTTGCACTTTCCAAGTGCCTCATGAATATTAAACACTGCTTCACCATGTCAGCATTTCCAACAAGTGGAATTCTTCTTAAATTCTCAAATAAATAATGCTTTACTTAAATGCTAAAACAATGAGTAAATTAATCAATTATTTGACTGACAGGAAATGTGATACATTTGGGTTTTGGACTGTTGATCAAAGAAAACATGCCAATAGAAGACATTACTTTAGGCTCTGGGTAATTGAGATGGATTATTTACTTTTTTTATTTATTGTAAAAATTAAAACAGTTATCAACAGATTAATTGTAAATGAACGCTATGTGTTACCCCCAAAGACTAGGTAACTGGGTCATTTACATGTTTGGTAGATGAAGAAGTTGGCACTGATCGGTAAACTGGGCTCAAAGAGCCCTTATACAACTAATTATGTCAAGTGTATGCTGCAGTTTTTCCTCTTATGAAGCTGTCCCTAAACATCCAGAGAGGTCCAAACTGATCGTTTCATGAACCTTCATTGTATGAGGTCTATTACCTCACACCTGCACCGTGTGCTTTTTATCCTCTTCAGATAAGTCCAACTGCAGGCACCGCAGCTCTGGAGGCTCTAGTGATAGTGGCCCCCACAGTCCTGTAGGACCTGCACCTACTCCGTCCAGCAGTGACAATGGCATGCCTTTGCATCGGTGGAGCACAAAACTCGGGTAAATACAGTTTTAAACTATTAATAAATTGCACAGATTAAAGGGTATTGATGGCAGTTCACTTTTTTTTCACAGAATGCAAAAGAAATCCATAGAGGAGGACTTCTGCACACTTCCAACTGTTGCTAGTTCAAATCGATTATCGCGGTTTTTGCCTAGTTGTAAGTCTCCCTGGACTATTTGCAACTAATTAAACCAAGACTTTGGTTGAATTTTCCTGTTACATCCCCTTTTTACTCTCCTGCAGCTATTCTGTACCAGGAATACAGTGATGTCGCCATCAACAGAGAGATCCAGAGGCAGCAAGGGAAGGAGCCAGGCACAGAGGAGGAGGGGCTCAGGGATGAGGGGTCTGACGGGATCCCGTCTCCTTCTAACCTTTCTCCATCTAGCTCCTTTCGCTCATCGCGAGGCTCTGCTTTTGCACTGTGGCAGGACATCCCCGACGTTCGAACCAGCGGCCAGCTCGACAACTTCAGCAACGAGGAACGTAAATTACAGGAGGTGAATGAGCCATCTCAGACCGCCACAGCCGTTTGCCTGTTCATGTACTGTAGATGACCCGGCATGACTTTCTGTCTCTCCCTAAACTCAGGCAAAGTTTGAGCTGGTGACGTCTGAGGCCTCCTACATTCGTAGTTTGACCATCGCAGTGGACCACTTCATGTTGTCTCAGGAGCTCGCCGAGTGTCTTGGAGCTCAGAATAAGCAGTGGCTCTTCTCCAAGCTGCCTGAAGTCAAAGGTGTCAGTGAGAGGTGAAGTAATATGCTGCTGATGTGCCTCTGTTGCCCTTCAATTCTTTATGTTAACATCTCAGTCGTATTGTCTCCTACTCTGAGTGTATTTTCTTCTCACTCGGTGCCTTTTAGGTTTCTTCAGGACCTGGAGCACAGGCTGGAGGAAGACATTCTGCGTTTCGATGTGTGCGACATCGTCCTGGAACACTGCCCGGCCCTGCGAAGGGTTTATTTACCTTATGTAACCAACCAGGCATACCAGGAGCAGACACACCAGCGTTTGCTGTGAGTAACTGCTTTCATCAAATGTGTAACGTATCAGCTGTTTGAGACCTAAACAGGCACTATCTCTCTGTGCGGCTGTGGTGCATGAAATCCAATTGTTTCATGCTGGAGTTCCATAATTTCCTCTAAGTGTGTTCAGGTGTTATTTTAGTCCCGCATGACTTAACTTGCAGATGTTTCATTTTGAGGAGGCTGACATTTTTTTCTTCTTCTCAGGGTTAAAAAGCACGCTGGAGTTTACCCCCACTTTCACTAAAAGTCACTCAATCGTTTCTCTAAATGTACTCGTCTTGTCCTCTCAGGCACGAGAACCCTCGTTTCCCCGGCATCCTGGCTCGTATGGAGGAGGACCCCATCTGCCAAAGACTTCCTCTGACCTCTTTTCTAATCCTCCCGTTTCAGAGGATCACACGGCTCAAAATGCTGGTGGAGGTACACAATCAAACGTTCACTGCAGAGTTCATGTTCGCACTTGAAACCCAATTACATGCTGTAAATGGGGTAATATGTGGACCGGCTAAGCATTTCGCCGCAGCAGGTTTTTTTTCCCCAACAAAAGTATTATTCGCTTTTGTTGGCGCGTCTTCAAAAAAACATATTTACTTTTCAGAACATCTTAAAGAGGACGACACCAGGCTCCCGAGATGAGGACACTGCCACGAAGGCTTTCAATGAGCTAAAAAAGGTGGTGATTATCATCTCTAATAGCCAGTTGGATGAGTACCAGTATTATCACTGGTGAGGCACAACAGTAATAATAATAATGTTGGTGTGTGTCGTCTTAGATCATCAAAGAATGTAACTCCAGTGTGCAGTCAATGAAGAGGATGGAGGAACTTATTCACCTCAATAAGAAAATCAATTTTGAGGGAAAGGTGACCGAAGTCATTGTAAATTGGCCATTTTTTGTATCTGCGTTGTTAAGTGTTTCTTATTCAGCAACTTATTTCCTTTCTCTGTAGATCTTTCCTCTGATCTCTCAGTCCCGCTGGCTGGTGAAGCACGGTGAACTCCTGGAAGTGGACACTCAGACGATGAGTATTTCTGGATCAAAGCTCAAGTTGCCCACCAAGCCTGTGTACCTTCATCTGTTCAATGACTGTCTACTGCTGTCCCGCAGGAAGGAGTGAGTGAAATGCAGTCTGTACAAAGAGACCAATGACTAAAATACTGCACTGATTGCTGACTCATGATAAGAAACAAGGACTTTTTTTATGTTTTAAACATAAGTTAAATGATTTCAATCAGGAGAGACAAGTGAATGATTAGTAGTTAACAATTATTATGACAGATGCTGCATTAATGAGTTACACAGTAATAATTCTTTGCCGCTTGAACTCAACGAGGAGATTTGTGATCGAGTTGTGATTGCCCTGAGCGGCAACAATATAAATCCCCCCCGTGGAGTCCAGACACTGGTGGTGCATGGTGGCTGATGAGGTTGATAGAATGATGAGTTGATGAAGTTGATGAATCTGTGAAGATTGGGGCGGAGATGGGGAGGTGGAGGGTTGTGTAACAGCAGCTTGACCGAACTGAAGGTAGAGACACAATCATATTTAAAGAAAGACAGCAGCCAGATGATAGGCCAACGATGTAATTGTGTCGTTGTGCTATTGGCTGGAGAGACCAGCTGATCTAGAGGGCTGATATGATTGACAGCCCCGAACAATGACAGCAAGGAAATAATGAGTGTGCCTGCATGAGGAGTGATGGCAGATGTATGGTAAATAAGCTATGGGCTTAGGCATGCAAGAGTATAGTCTTCCTGTCTGAACCGACGCTAAGAGCGTCATAAGTCTGTCTGAATACAATGCTCACATGCTATATCATCCCTCCTCTCCACACTGGTCTTGCAGCAATCCCTTCCCACAGCAACAACACTGCAATGACTAAAATAGAATAGAAAATACTTTTTTTGTGCAAAAGGAAGAAATATGTCTTTGATTTGCATGGGCAAAATCTGCTATTAAAAAGGGTAAATTAACACACTATACATTATCACTTTCAGACAAGACACATTCAAATAGATTTACATAAAAACACACAATATAAGCTATATTAACCAGGTTATTGATGGTGAGGACTGAATCAAGGGTAAATAAATATATATAAAATGACGTGTGCTGATGTAGCAAGCTGGCTTCAAAAAGTGGTTGTTCTTACTGATTATTATATTTTAGTGACAAATTAGGGAACAAAATCGACTGTGCTTATTTTGTGCAAAAATGCTTACAGTATCCTTCCATGACAGTTCAGCTTTTGCCCGGAACAAATATTTTGTTTTCCCCTCTTTCTTGTTCTTCACATTAGGAAGAGTTCTCCTTACAGACCATTTTCTTTTAATCTACTTATGGCATGCAAGTGTTGTAGTTTGACATTTGGAGAAATTGGCTCATGCACTTACTTGTCGAGAGTTAGATGAGAACATTGAAACCACTTATATATAATAAATATATATTATAATAATAATAATAATAATAATGGTCTGAAAACAGCACATAGACTGCACCCGTTTTCACCAGGATTATCTCACTCTTTTTCAAGCACAACAGAGTGCAGTCATTTAAAATAAGCCACGACCACTTAAAACTTCAACTCATAGTGGCTTTAAAGATACACCAGCTGGTTATTAATGTGGGGGAAAAAATTGACAAGCACGGTCTTCTGGTGATCTTGATAATAAGCCGCCATCTTTTTTTGCAGCACGTGGAAGTTCATGGTGTTTGTACACGCCAAGATGGGAGAGCTGAAAGTGAAGGACCTCAGTCAGAAGCTGCAGGGCATCTCAGGCTTCATCTTCCACTTGCAGCTGTGTGGAGTCCAACAGCTCAAACACCAAATCCTGCTCAAGTCACACACCGAGTGAGTAACAACAATAATTAAGTATGCCTAAGTATAAACAGGTAGCTTCAGCAGACGGTGATGTAACTGCTCTTTCTTGTGTTTGCCAAGGAGCGGGAAGCAGAGATGGATTACAGCCATGTTTCCATCTGATCCGCTCGAAGACATCGAGCAAGCCAGTGAGAATGATGGTCAGTGGAGAGCTTTAGGTGCACTATGAATCAGCGGAAACCTTTTAATCCTCTCATTCATCTTTTTCCTGTCTTTTCCTGTCTTAGATATATCCCAGGTTCAGTGCATCAAAAGCTATCAGGCCCAAGAGCATGACGAGTTAACACTGGAGAAGGCCGACATTCTTCATGCTAAGACCATTACAAGTGATGGTAAGAGTTTGGATAAAGTCCTCTTTTAGATAAACTGCATTCCGACCTCAACCTGCACCTAAATTAGGTAAATCTGTCCCACTGGCCACCTGAGTTTAAATCTAGTGGTAGATGTGTATGTGCAGTGGTTTCTCTGATGTCAAAGGGATGTTCTCTTTCACCAGGCTGGGTGGAAGGCATCAGACTGTCTGACGGGGAACGGGGCTGGTTCCCCAAAACCTACGTGGAAGAGATCACAAGTCGCAGCGCTCGCCTCCGCAACCTCCGAGAAAATATCCGCATCAAATGTGTCACGCAGAAACTGGAGGGGGAAGACTAATCACTTTTACTGCAACTTGTCGTGTTTCAAAGGTGTGTTTCAGTCGTTAAGTTGCATTTTTAAGCTTCTGGATCATTTTAGTTTTGATTTTAGATGGATGTGGGACCTACTTGTAGTACGCAGGTGCTGAAACAAGCCAACATTTTTAACTGTGTGAGCATTTTTCTTTAGCAAGCTAACTGCAAATTCAGTCTTGAAATGAGAGTGCAAGGCTTTTAATGTTCCTATAAATTTTAGCTTAAACAGCTTTTATACAACACGAGTCATGTTCACGAGCAATCACTTTATGCATGTTTTCTGTGAATACATTCATTTCCATTTTTTTTTAAGTCTGAGGAACACCTGCACATTTACCAGCACAGGCAGTAATGTAATCATATCCAAAGGTAAATATGTACATTTCTTGGCTCATGACAGAGTCTGTCTCTATACGTTTTTTCATCCGTCATGTCTCCTGTGGCCAGATTCCATCTTTGGACTGTCGTATGCTGTCAGCTGAGCTCTGTGAGGTGCAGGAGAGTCATTCACGTAATGTTACAGCATCAGAAAGTGGCTTATGGCAGATCCTTCTATTGAGCTGCATTAGGACATATCAGGGGCCTTTTATCTTCTGTCTTTGTTCACACTGAGTGCTGCTTTAATTTCAGAAGACAGATAAAAAGTTGCGAAAAGTTACGAAGATAAATGAAAACCTGATTTTGTGTTTTAGTCCATCCAATATCTGAAAGCATCCTTGCCTTTTTCAAAGATGATTTCACGAATCTGCTGTAACATAAATGAAGGACAGATTATCTCATTAACAAGGCCACACTACACAAATAAGGGTTAGGCTGACTATATTTTTTATTTTTTTGTTATTGTCAACAAAACAAACAATTTATCCGACTGACAAGTATTGTCAGTATTGATATATCGTATTCATCCTTGCTGTAAAGCTCCATTGGTGTCCAAAAACAATCAAACACACATCAATGAGCCAAACTGTTACTCTCAATGACATTCCTTCGTTACCGTGAACACATACTGATCCAACATTACATAAACCATCCCACTGATGCAAATACTGACTAGAGCACCAAATACGTATTAATGCACAGCTGAAAATAGTCCCCAACAAATGCACTTCAGTGGGAACAAGTTGAGCTTGGTGCTGAGTGCCACAGACATGGTGGGGATTGTTGGTTTTGTTATTTTCACTGTATTTGTTGACACTAAGAAAAATACAAAATAATTGTCTTTTAAAAACAAGAAAATGGACCAAATTCACATCAGAAGACATTTACATTGACCCTCCGTGTGGTAAAAGGGTAGAGGTTTTACCCCACTTCAACTAACTTTTATAAACTTTAACCCCAGTGGAACAAACACTAGAAACACTATATTACACTTATCATACATCATCAAGTAATACTGTCATATACTTAAGACTGAATTACATTTAGGCCTACATCGTCCACATCGTTAGTTGCAAAAATCCCCAAATGACCAAAAGCGCAGTGTAACTGAGCTGAGACCTGTTATTAATGAACCACTATAATCAACATTCAATTGTAAACTCTCCCAGTGGCACATACAATGTTTATAACCCCCTTTTTTTCTACGTCTGCGTTGTAATTTAATTGTGTATTTATACTCCTCTAGCTGGTTGTTCTCTAAGGAGATTCTGATGTAAATGTACTTAAGTGCAGATGGCTTCATGTATAAAGAGTAAGAAAATGATTAATTTACTATTATGACTGTAATTTATGTGAACAAAGACTTAACAGATATTATTACCTTCCATAGCTATAAGGTTTTCAGTTTGATTCATTTCTAATACCAACATACTGTAATACACTGGATCTCTGCACACTACTGTAAATGTTTAACCACTGTAATAAATACAGATACTTACATATTTTGTTGTGTTGAATAAACAACTCTTAAGAGTTTTAAAAAGGTTTATTGTGAAAAGGTCAAACATTATGTATTTTACAGTAAAGACATCAAAGCTAAGTATGTACAGTTGCTTCAGTACTATTTTCTTCAGTAAGTAACCCTTATAGCTCTACAGACTAACATTGTTTTAGCTGTGGTCTGGTCTTAAACTGGGTCCCTCAGTGTAACAATATCACATATATCAATATTGGGCAAGAACATTTCAGAGCCTCCAAACTACTGCATCTTAATTTTGTGACAAAATTATACATAACAGTCATATGTACATACTATCTACATGTTATTTCAGATTCATAATAAAAGTCAAGCTTCTCCACATTCAGATGAGTCAGCTGCGACCATTGATGTGGCATTGGTCGGCTGTTATCGGTTCCTGGGACTCCTTCCTGCTCCTCTGCAGCTTCGGCATGATTGGAGGTGCAGTGGGACTCACAGTAACGTTTCTGTCTGGCTGCAGGGCAAAGACAAAATCTTGTTGGTGCAAAGTTAATTCACATTTGAGGCAAAACCAAACCAGTAGTGAACTAGGAATGTTACATGCAGAACTGTAACACTGACGCATGCATTTGAATGTAGTCAGCAGAAATGAATATGTAGTAAATGCTACGTTAAAATAAAAACATCAAATATTCACTGTCTTTTGACTTTGTTTTGGGCTACTGAGGGAAGTATATGGCTCTTTAGCTGCTAAATGCTTCACTACGTTCACCAGTCTCTAACTAGTCCAACGGCAAATGGCAGTTTGAAACATACAATGACAAAGTATTGACAACGCCATAAAGAATTCCCCAACTCTGCAGTTCCCCTCTGATCTACGTAGCTCTTCATCCTCTCTTAGCTCATTATTTTAACACCCAAACACTATTCTTTACCATTTTATATTCCTTAAAAGATGTCAAACAACACAGTCTAACCTGTTGTAATTGAAACATCCAGTTCCGATAATCCTCCAGACAGGCACAAGAGACCTGCAGGGGCTCCATCAGCTCACCTACGACACAACGATTATGAAATGACTATTTCTTGCTGTAATCAAATGCTACATTTAGCCAAGAAAGTATTAATGTCGGATGTTTGCACAGCATACCCATCAGCTCAAACTCCAGCCGTCCAGGCAGGGCAGACCTCTCAACTGCTCTGATGCTGTGTCGGGGCAACCTGCCCTGTTAGAGATGATGGAGAAGAAATAGAAATGCTTTAAATTGTCCAGAGTTTTCACTTTACAATCATACAACGATTGTACAAGAGAAAAACGACTGACTGAAATGACTGAAGGCAAGTGTGAGTTACAAAATGTTCCACCCATGCTTTATGTCATGTGTCAAAAGAACAAGTCCTGTGTAAAGATTACAGGGACACAGGTATGCCACAGTGGTTGAGGAGGTATTATGGATTTTTCCCATAGAGTCATTTTACAGTACCTCATATCTTATATTCAGACGCTTGTTGTCGACTGACAGCAGCAGGACATCTTGAGGGAAGAGAACCATCAGTCTTTCTTGGAGTCCCTGAAAGAACAAAGCCATGTCGCTGCTACTGTTGTATTAGTTGTTCAAAACAGGGAGTACCACTGACAAATGACTGACACTTCAAATAATGTTCTCTATAATATAGAGTGAACACTTATAACTATTTTTTTGAATTTTAATTTATTATACTACATTGGTCCCTTTAAGGGGGGAATTTGTCTCTGCATTTGACCCATCCCTGTATATAGGGAGCAGTGGGCTGCCAATGACAGGTGCCCGGGGAGCTGGGTGTTCAGTGTATTGCTCAGGTACACTTCGACACATGACACGTCCCAGTCGAGGATCGAACCGTTGCGGTTGCCAGACAACCCTCTTAACCCAGTGAGCCAGGGTCGCCCCGAATCATATTGACATGTGCCACAAGTAGCATTTTTTAAAGCACAGCTGCAGTTTATCACAACTTGTGTCTTATATTTGTAACTTGGTCCATATTTGAAATGAGTAATAATAATATAGTGCATTCCAAGTTAATTGGTGAGACATGCTTATGTGGCTATGTTGCTATAAAGGCAGGGGGTGCAAGAAAAACTATTTAGCCCTTAATTGACTTTATTGTGATAATTATAATGAATAGAAAAGATGGCCAAATAACCAAAATAAGACCCAAGTTGTAAATGTGAATTATCCTTTAATGTAAATAAATAATTTCCATTTTGATCTTCTGTTAAATAAATGAGACCATAACTGAAAGCAGCCTCTACAGTTCATGCCACATTGTGTGCCAGTAGGTCAAATCTAACATGAAACCTGACCTACTTAGAAGTGTTTTATAAAAGGAAATGTGGTCTTGATTTTCAGATACTCTGACAAAAACAAGAAGTATTCTGTAAGTGGTGGTTCATCTGTCATCAGGTGGTAAGTATGGAAGGACAAAGAGGACTTGGATAAAAAAAATTTTAAATCTTTTCAGTTTAGTTTCAGAAGTGAACTTGTTTTCATGCTGACAAATGAGTAAATTCTTGCTCTCCAATTATTTTGTATCCATGCTCATTTGCAGATTCCTAATCCAGTGTGACAGAGTCTTTATTACCTGTCTCTGTGTGTTGATGATATGGACGATAGATGTGTATCCCGGCTGACCCATGTGCTGTATCGGCGAGCCCTCCCACTGCCAAATGGGAGCTTGTAGTAAGTACTTCTTCAGTTCTTCTCTTTTCCAGTGCTCATCACAGGGTAACTAGGGAAGACATATGATATGCGATTCATTTTATTCATTACAATTTAACTCGTCTACTTTTTCATGTAGAGTTGTAAGCAGATGTACAGCAGTTGGTCATTACAAGATAGGAGAGAGCGCAGTGGGAGGGACTCATGGGTTGTGCCATTGACTTGTATCTCCTATCTTCTATGTGTTGCATCCATTTCTGTAGCTCTGCAGAACTGGCGCATATGAAGACCTTGGAGTCCACCATTGGACCTGGATGAAAGAGGGAACAACATAAATCATGCTCAGGACTTTACACTGTGTTTCCATGTCTCAGCTCAATTTGGACAATTTCCGCCGACTCACCGCTGATCTCAAACATGTGTGGTGAATGTGACGTTTTAGGGTCAATAGATACAGCTTCCAAAGAAAGTCCAGAAAGGGGAAGGATGCCCTGTGAGATAAGATAACAAAGTGTCAGGATAAAGTAATGTGCTTCAGTTTCCTCCAAAGAGATCATGATGCATTTTTATTATTATTATCCCCTAAAAAGCTGGTATGGCTCATGTGTGGTTGCCCATTTACACATCCAGCAGATACTGAGCTCCGATACTTTTGTCCGACTTCGGTATTTTTCAACCTGGACCCTATTTTCCAATGCTTGTGTGTTGTTGGAGTTTGTAGAAGTAGGACAAATATAGCTTAGTCTAAAAGATGCTTGTTGTACCCATTAGTCACTTTAGAAACCAAAAATGGGAAAATCAGGTCCAAGTTGAAAAAAACAGAAGTTACCCTTTAAAGTGTGTTTGAACCTTAGCCACTATCTGGCATTTAATTTTTAAGTAAAATGCACAAAGAATACCTCATAAATGAAGTCTTGTCGAGGGTGGTCCAGGGAAAGGATCAAGAGGTGGAAGGAGAATAACACCAGGAAGTGTTCACTGGTTTCCTGTCGGGGAAAAATACATTAAGATGTGTGACAACAATGTAACACCAAACAAGCTGAACATGTTTTTTTAAAGTGCAGGAGGTGTAGGCTGATAGTGTCAGAGTTTCCAGAGTTCACACAGGCAATGTAATAAAACTGACCTGTTTCACTATTTTTCCAATTAAAGATGTTGCTTGCCAGACAGAAGTTTACTGGAATCCAACAACTTGAGCGTATTACAACACAAAGAAAACATTTTCTGAAAGCGGATTTCAAAATAAACCCTTGTAGGGTGATGTTTGGGTGGAGCCACGCCTCAGAACAGCTGACACCCATGTGCAACGCAGTGTTACCTGTGTGTAGCTGTTGTAGAGAGACACCAGGGAGGAGTGGATGATCTCTCCATACATGTGTGCAGGTTGGCCCTCCCACTCCCTGATTGGCTGGTGGGAGTAAATCCTGTGGCATAACTCATCTCTGCTCCTGCCCCACAGCACCACCTACGGACACAAAACTGTATCAGCCCATGTGTATTGGTTATGATTTGTACATTTCAATATTTTGTAGCTTTTCCATTGGTTGGCCATTTTTCCTTAGTTGTAATAAACTGTGTATGTTAGTGAAAAAGAAAGGGTCCTGCATACTCTATGTTACTAAATGTTTTTCTGCCATCCCATGTCACTGCCCCATCAGTATTTGCATGTGGCCACATGTTTCACAGAAAGATGAGTCATGCATTACACAGCAAATTGTAGTTTGTTTTACTGTTGCAAGCCTCTATAGTCATTGTTATTTGTGCAAAATGTTTCACAATCAAGGGGGATTTGGTTTCTAAAATTGTTGTTCTGTTGGGGGTTGGAAGCTTCATATTTAGACAATTTTTCATTCAAGTGGAAAGAACTGCAAAAACTCAAGTTTGTGTGGCAGTGTTTTCTCCCTCCTTTATTTCCTGTAAAGTTTGAATCACACCAAACCGGGAATGCAGAATCTCTCACTTTTGTCGTGGAAATTCCTACGGTGTGTAAACAGTGCGTGTCTGGCCTCAACACAAATAACTGCACTGTGGAACAGTGGAAACTGTTCATATTCATGTGAGGCACATCTCGCCACACTCTGCTCGAGCGCTAAAAAAGTGTTACAGTGTTTGCCCAAAGTGAGCCACATGCTGTGTTCTTACTGTGAAAAGTGCATGATGAAGTTTCCGTCTGTGTCCGTGTCTCTGTCACACACACATCACTCTCACATCACACATCACAAGCATAGCGACCTCTTGTTCCAGGTGTCGTATTGAAGGGTGGCGCGGTGGTGGCGGGGGCTGCTCATCTCTGCTGGTCCTCACCGACAGCTGAAGCCTGGTCTCTCCCAGACTCCACACCCTGAATAAACACATGTCATCAGTCACGTGGCAGCACTCACAGCTGAGGGGTGGTTAGCTTCGTGGCCTCATTGTTGCACGGATGTGGGTTCAGTTTATGGTCCTCTCTGTGCAACGTGAATGTTAAAGTGCATGTTCTGTTTGGCTCCGTCTTGCCCTTCCAAGCAGTGAGTCAGGTTTTAACACCGTTTGTGGACCCCTGTTTGTATGTGTTCCCTAATGGTGCTTGTGCTTGGACTGACTGCAGCCCTGGTGAGCCTCAAAGAAAAATAAATAGAGATTGAAGAGCAATAGAGCATTTCACAATTTAAATGACTGGTCTTGATCCTCCTGCAGCCCAGCGGCAGACAGACGTAATCAGATTACAGTAGTCAGAGCAGACACAGGACCCCCCCCTTACTGCTATATTCTGTAGCCAATGCCTACAAATACTAATTCTAAGCCAGTTTTGAATGTGCGCTGTAGTGGACATACACAGACAAAGTGACAAAATTAAGTATAGTAAAAACATTTTTTAGTATGATGTTTATGTAATCTATTGTCCCACAATGCAACGCACAACGGAAGCAGAGGAACTACTCACCATAAATGATATGCAGATAGATGATATATCAGTAGATATAACCTCAAAATGAAGTTTCGACCAGGAAGCTGACAACGTCTCGCTACTGCCGTTTCTTTAAGAAACTAATATGTTGCTTATTTTAAAGCTGTCCATCAATGCCAAATAAGCAGTGACATAGTGGTACCTCTGAGGGTTTCCGGCTCACTATCTCTGGGTGTGTTTATGGAGAACATTGTAAGATGCCCTTTGGTAAATCCTCCTTTGGTAAAATGTCATTCTCTGCTTGGTGGATCAATATGTGGAGCACCTTATGGCACAAAAAAATAGCGTGGGATGACTTTAAACTGGAGTCAAAGCAGCTTTTAAAAAGGTATCAGTCATGAGGTCATGAATGATGAATGCATTTCATCTTGAGTTCTCTTTATAGAGGCCCATCTACAGGCTCGCATTGCAATCTTAAGCTATGAATGCTGGTATGAGACATTGGTCCATGCTATATACCTGCCCCCATAAAAATAAACATGAATTAAGTAAAATTATGAAAAACAGAAACATTTCAATGTGTAGATGATGGTTTCAAGAAGAAGCATTGCATTTTTGGAAAAATACTTTTCGCTTTCCCATTGTAAAGTTAAATTAGCGGTCCCGTTTCAAATTCATAGTTTGAATGATGTTATTCAGATACCAACAAAATCAGTAATTATGACAGTACTTTATACTGAGTGATAAAGAGTCACTAGTGATAGTGTGTATCTTATATGCGAGTGTTCATCTTTGTCTGTGAATGGACTGCGACCATAAGTAGTAATTATTTAACAGCCACACATAAGAACTGGTAGTTACTATTGTAATTATCCTCTGGTAATCCCTTAGCCTTAGAACAAGAGGGGATTTGTCCCGCCCTGACTCTGTATTAAACCCCTCCATGATTCAGCCATTGTCTTATAGTAAGCTGCTAATCACGTCAGTGCAGCATCACCGAGTCCCCAAGTTCTTGTTTAGTAAATAGGAGCCAATTAGTTCTGCTGGGTGCTGATAAGTGGAAATCATATGGATGTAATGTGTTGTTCTGCAGGTGTTTTCATTGCGGTTAAAGGGAATTGAATCTTTTCTTCTCTGCACTACCTGGAAGATTTCTGTGTAAAAGCACATCCTGTTGCTCTGTGAAAACAAGCATTTAGTGTGTACATCCTGGAAATGGTATCACTGAATAATGTGCAGCTTTGAATAAGGGTATGCGGGAGGCTCTCTCTTCTTGTGTTTTACAGGTTCAGCTCCAAAATGTGACGCATGACTTGTCAAATAAAAACCACAGAGGTTGAAAGACAAGCTGCTAAAATGCTTTATTCACTTCCCAGAGTGTCACTGCTTCCTCCTGCAGAACTCAACACACATAACCACACTTAAACAAACCTAAAAAGTATTCTCTTTTAAAGCTGTGAAGATACACATAATATATTTGACTCAATCCTCGTTTTGTTCCAGGATCCAAGTACAGACATAACTGTAAATTCCCCACCTTTGCATTTCTATTTTTGAGCAGTTCTCAGCTTTAAATCATAAACTTATATTCATGTCTTACCCTAAATTGTCTCCAGAGAGTTCCAGGAGCTCGATCTCATCAGGGCCCACCTCGTCCACTCCAGTATGCCTCTGGGTCACACTGCAGCATCCCATGTCGGACGAGGAGTCTGTCCCTCTCCGCCTGTCTCAGCTTCTAGTCCACACACTGAGCACCATCTGCCCAGACAATCATCCCTGCTGTGTGTGTGCCACACTTAAACCAAAGAGATAACAGAAAAACGGGGGCTGGTTGGGTCCAAAAGAGGATATTGTCCGCTAGAGAAGAGAAGGGAGGGGTTGGTGTCGCTAAGCTCTAGTTCCTTCTTTTTGCTAGCATGCAGTTTATATTTAAATAGAGCCACAAGAACGAAAGGTGTTGACGTTTTCGAAGAGGAATTGAAGATAAAAGTGGCAAAAAAGTTTTTGTTGAGTCGCAGCTTCGTAGTTGTTCGTTCCTTCCTTCCTTCCTGTCAGTTGGCTGTCTGCAGAGAACTGAGCAGTTTCCTCAGTTGTTGTCTCTATTGATGGTCTGAAGTTACAATGGGAACTTGCTGGCGCTTTACCATGACAAATAAAACTGGTTCTATTGTTAATTAAAGCTTCCCATTTGTAGATGTACAAATGCAGCTGCTACAGGTACTAAACCTCTTCATGTTGCTAAAGTAAGGCTGTGATGCTCCCAGCCTCCTTGTTAAGTAAGTGAAGCAAGGATCCTGTTGGGAAAGATGGGAACATGCCAGCCTGTGTTTACATGCACAACTCATGAATATTGATAGGCAAGTGAAATAATTATGAGTTATGAAATGGAGAGGTACAGGGCTGCAGTCAAAACAAGCCGCACCAGCTGTTGCCCTGTGTTGCTCTTGCTGGTTAGAATTACAGTAAGATGGTGGGAGGGTTTGTACACAATCATGTCCGAGTGTTTCTGGCTTTCCACAAGGCAGGAGCTGTTTCTGTGAAGTGAGGCAACTTGATGTAAGATGAGTGACTGATATATTTTCCATTTGCCTCAGCTGTTGATTTCTGCTTTGATTAAAGTAAACAAGTCTACCATTAATACTGTACAATGACATTTTACAACATACTACACTATAACTTTTTAATAGTATTTTCTTGTGACTTTTTATGACAAATTATTTTGCAACAGTCTATAATATAACTTTGCATGACTATTTTTCAAATACAATACTACGACTTTTTTTATGAATAGTTTTATAGTAAATACTTTAACTATATAGTTTTCATGACTTTCTTCAACATACTACAATTTTACTTTTTTGACATACTGAACTCTAACATGTCGTCATACTATACATTGACGTTTTATGACAAATTGTACCGTGATATTTTTGTCAATATACAATGAGGGTTTATGACTTTTTTTAGATATACAATATAACATACCATACTATGTAATACTTGTTTGGACGTGTTAAACTATGGCATTTACATGCCTTTGACATAATATGGCTTTTTTTTTTTCGACATACATGTCAAGGGAGTTCAGGACAGGACCCAATAGCAAGACCACAAAACAGGATTCAGGTACAGAACAGACTTTTTTTTACCCTGGCCAGAAGGCAGGATCGACGGTGTGGTTTCCTGTGGACCGACACCGGAAGGCAGGCAAACTAGTAGGCACAGGGTTGGAAGACGGTACAGGGTTGGAAGACAGAGGCAATCAGCTGGAGAGTACGCAGCTGTGCACCTATCAGGGGTGTGACCATGGGAGGTGTCTGGAGGCAGGCAGAGGAAGAACACCGAACACATGGCATACAATAACAAAACAGGGGAATGACAGAGGTTAACACACCACAGGTCTGACAGGGATCCTGACAATACAATGACCTCGTCATATCATAATTTCATTTTGATATTGTGCAATGATGCACAATTGTCTATTTAGGCCAACAGTATGTACCCGACAATACTCTTTTATCAGGACCTCTGTTTGTTGCAAAGTAAAAACACAAATGTACCTTGAAGTTATTTTCTCTGTAGTTCCTTATTTTGTCATCATCTGTGCCTCTCCAGTGTTCTATATGATTTTGAAATAAACTAGGGCGGTGTTATGAAAATGATAATAATTAAGTTCCCACATAGTTTCCCCCTTATTCATTAACAGCACATATTGTTCCCTTGCACCTACAAGTATGTATCATTACGTCCTGGTACACAATCAGTAAAGATTAATTATTTATGATTTAAATTAAATTGAGAATTATGATGCACGTTGCCGGCCGTAATCTAAAGCATTGTCTAAATACATTGTATTTATTATATCAGAAATATGACATGTTCTTTACTATAAAAACATATTTTAAAAGTTTGTCGTACATTTATTTCATTGTGCTACTCAGTAGATACGGAAAGTATTCAGACCCCTTTAAATTTTTCCACTCCGTTTCATTGCAGCCATTTGCTAAAATCAAAAAAGTTCATTTTATTTCTCATTAATGTACACTCAGCACCCCATCTTGACAGAAAGAAAAAAAAAACAAAAAAAACAAAAATGTAGAAATTTTTGCAAATTTATTAAAAAAGAAAAACTGAAATATCACATGGTCATAAGTATTCAGACCCTTTGCTGTGACACTCATATTTAACTCACATGCTGTCCATTTCTTCTGATCCTCCTTGAGATGGTTCTACTCCTTCATTGGAGTCCAGCTGTGTTTAATTAAACTGATTGGCCTTGATTAGGAAAGGCACACACCTGTCTATATAAGACCTTACAGCTCACAGTGCATGTCAGCAAATGAGAATCATGAGGTCAAAGGAACTGCCCAAGGAGCTCAGAGACAGAATTGTGGCAAGGCACAGATCTGGCCAAGGTTACGAAAGAATTTCTGCAGCACTCAAGGTTCCTAAGAGCACAGTGGCCTCCATAATCCTTAAATGGAAGAAGTTTGGGACGACCAGAACTCTTCCTAGACCTGGCCGTCCAGCCAAACTGAGCAATCGTGGAAGAAGAGCCTTGGTGAGAGAGGTAAAGAAAGAACCCAAAGATCACTGTGGCTGACCTCCAGAGATGCAGTAGGGAGATGGGAGAGAGTTCCACAAAGTCAACTATCACTGCAGCCCTCCACCAGTTGGGGCTTTATGGCAGAGTGGCCCGACGGAAGCCTCTCCTCAGTGCAAGACATATGAAAGCCCGCATAGAGTTTGCCAAAAAACACATGAAGGACTCCCAGACTATGAGAAATAAGATTCTCTGGTCTGATGAGACCAAGATTGAACTTTTTGGCGTTAATTCTAAATGGTATGTGTGGAGAAAACCAGGCACTGCTCATCACCTGCCCAATACAATCCCAACAGTGAAACATGGTGGTGGCAGCATCATGCTATGGGGGTGTTTTTCAGCTGCAGGGACAGGACGACTGGTTGCAATTGAGGGAAAGATGAATGAGGCCAAGTACAGAGATATCCTGGAAGAAAACCTCTTCCAGAGTGCTCTGGACCTCAGACTGGGCCGAAGGTTCACCTTCCAACAAGACAATGACCCTAAGCACACAGCTAAAACAACAAAGGAGTGGCTTTCGGAACAACTCTGTGACCATTCTTGACTGGCCCAGCCAGAGCCCTGACCTAAACCCAATTGAGCATCTCTGGAGAGACCTGAAAATGGCTGTCCACCAACGTTCACCATCCAACCTGACGGAACTGGAGAGGATCTGCAAGGAAGAATGGCAGAGGATCCCCAAATCCAGGTGTTGAAAACTTGTTGCATCATTCCCAAGAAGACTCATGGCTGTACTAGCTCAAAAGGGTGCTTCTACTCAATACTGAGCAAAGGGTCTGAATACTTATGACCATGTGATATTTCAGTTTCTTTTTTAATAAATTTGCAAAAAATTCTACATTTGTTTTTTCTGTCAAGATGGGTGCTGAGTGTACATTAATGAGAAATAAAATGAACTTTTTTGATTTTAGCAAATGGCTGCAATGAAACAGAGTGAAAACTTTAAAGGGATCTGAATACTTTCCATACCCACTGTAAACAGTATACATACTGTACTTACAGTTTACATGAACATGCTGTGTTCTATGTGACAAATTAAAGTACTTCAAAGCTTTTAGAATTGTTATTTCTTGTTCTGTCTCCTTCTTGATTTGTGAGCAGATTCAAAGAGCTGCTGACGGCTTCGTGTGTGTGAGGAGCTTCCCAAACCGACCAGCACAGAAGAAGCAGATGGAGACAAACTATGTTCTCTGTGCCTCTGGGGACGAGACGCTCCTCGTCCTCTCGGCTGGTGGGTGGAGCGGGTGGTGTCGGGTGGAGGGGCAGGGAGGATGTAACAATACTCACTGGGTCTCGGACTCACTGGGGTGCTGAGAGTGGTTCAGTGGTGGGTTTGGGTCTTCCTGGGATGATGGGTTGGATGACGTCCACTCTCAGCTGCCCCAGGAGTGAGACAACAGCACAGAGGAGTCCTGCCCTGTTAGACACAAACACAAGAGATGAATACTTTGAACGCAACTATAAGACCTTTACATTGTTTTGTTGAATCTGGCCTCCAATGATGGAATCTTATTAATGATACTTCTGTAGTCTTAGTGAGGGATTAATTACTTACTCAGCCCACTGAAAGAAAGGAGACCGCCGCTCTCCATCTGGTCCTGTAGTCCTCCATCCTTCTCATCTGGTCCTGTAGTCCTCTGTTACGGCCTATATAGTGTGCCTAGGGGTACACAGGAAGTAACATAAAAGGTGATAGAAAACCTTGGCAAAAGTTTACCAAAAAACCACAGGGATACGGCAGTGGCAATTAGACACATTTATTAACATTATGGATGAACAGAAGCTAACTAAATAAGGAAGCGTAGGCGTCAGGGTCTCTAAGGCCAACATAATAAACAAAACCCCCATGCCAACTGGAAAAGAAGAGATCAGCTGAACTACGAACAAACAAAAATACTGAACTCCCCAACTAATCAAAAACAGGAGAAAACTTTACCAAAATAAAAGGCAGAGAACCCCCAACAAAGCTTCCACTAAGTTTGAAAACCCAGGTGGGGCAGCACAAATGCTCGTAGCAGCAGCAAACCCACAGCGCCACAGGCCCAGAGTGAACAAATAAGGGCCGGGAACACTGGATTCGGGGGTTTATATGCAGCTCCACTGACGAGATGAGGACTCTCAGGTGTGGGTGCTTCAGTGATCGTCAGGGGGCGTGGCAGACCTGAAAGACAGACAGAGCTCTCAACTAGAAAAGAGGCATCGTTAAGTCAGGGGGCGTAACACCCCCTTCCATAAAACATGCATAACGTTTAACGTTATGTCACACTTTTTCCCAAAAGGAACAAATCTTGTGCAAATTACAACCTGGATAAGGTATCAGCAATAATGTTATCAACCCCCTTCTTATATCTGATCTCCAGATTATATTCTTGTACCAGTAATGCCCAGCGCATCAGTCTCTGGTTGTGGTTGTACATCCGGTTGAAGAACACTAAGGGGTTGTGGTCCGTATATACCACAACAGCAGCTGTGCTGGAACCCACATAAACCTTGAAATGCTGCAAGGCAAGTACCATAGCCCAGGTTTCCTTCTCAATTGTTGAGTAATTAAGTTGAGGATGCTTAAACTTTACTGAATAGTAGGAGA